TACTAAATCTACTCACGTCGAAAGTTTTATTAATAGGTACCTGGGTCAGTTCATCTACAACAACCTAATATTTGGTTATTAATCGTTTAGAAAAAATTACTTAAATTTTTAACAATATATTTTTTAAGTATCCCACATACTGAGATTCGTTAAGATTTCTTCCATAAGATTTTTCGTGAACGATAAGAATTTTGTTTCTTGCATTATACGGAGTGTTTCACCTAATTTTGTCACTTGAAATATTTCTGCTACATTTAAAATTTTATAATAATGTTTCCTACCAAAATTGCATAGTTTTGTATAGCAACAACGATTTTATTCTGTTGATGAAGTTAATGAGATGCAAATGTCATCTTCGCTTCTTTCTTTTTTAATATAAAATTCTATATTTTTTTGGTCAGTATCCGATGAAATTCTATGGAAGTTCTGTGCAAAATGTAGTTTTAAAATTTAATTTATGAAGATTACTGTTTATATTTGGTTGAAGAAGTATTAAGAAAAAATGTTTTTTAAAGAGTGCAGAATTTGTAATATGAGTGAATAAGGATAATTCGGATACTATTATACATAAACACTTGTACACTCTCCTTATCCTAACACGTGTTCCTTTAATAACGCCTTAGATCGTGGAATTTAGGTCTTTGTTTCTGGCATACGTCCAAAACATACTTGTTCGCGCTTTGGAATTACAGTGTAACATTTGCAATTGAATAGTGATAATTTGATGTTGAAATGAACGAGTAATCCGTTAATTGTTTCTTCTCTTCAATGTTTACAAATGTATTACTTTAAAATCTAAAAATTTATACTTAGCGTATATTTGCTTTTTGTAAGAAACGAAAAGAGATATCGATGTGAAGATCTTTGTAAAAAAAAAAAAACAAAAACAAAGGGATTTAATTTTGATCGTCTCAGAAAGTTTTATTATAGTTAACCTGGTTTCGATTTGCATCGGAAACCATGGAAGTACAGATGCATGAAAAAAAAAATGTTTCAACGCAGATATTACAGCGATCGAGGTCAGTGCGCGAAATGCTACCTGTCGTGCAAAACGTGTTCCGGACCTAGAAGAGATCAATGCGTAACCTGTCCTCGTGGTTGGCAATTGGCAGCGGGAGAGTGTCATCCGGAGTGTCCCGAAGGATTCTTCAAATCCAACTTTGGTTGCCAGAAGTGTCACCATTACTGTCGCACGTGCAAAGGTATGTACGAGGAAGACGAAGAAGTAGAGAGAGAGAGAGAGGCAGAGACAGAGACTGAGTGATAGAAGCAGAGAGAGAGAGAAAGAAGCGAGTGTTCCAGATTTTTCAGACATAACAACGCGGTTTCTAACACGCAAATGCATTGCAGGAGAAGGACCAATGGAATGCACTTCTTGTCCTCCACACTCAATGCTCGAGGGTGGCCTGTGCATGGAGTGCCTCGGAGCACAATACTACGACCCTCTCACGCAACTCTGCAAGAATTGCCACGCCGATTGTCGAAGATGCACAGGCCCTGGAAAATTTAGCTGCGCTGCTTGCTCCCCACCGTTGCACTTGGACAAATTGAACAATCAGTGCGTACCTTGTTGCACGGGTAACGAGAAAGGACCTCAGGCTGAGGAATGCTGCCTCTGTGATCCAGAAACCGGTAAGAATAATTTTAGCCTGTACAGTGGATGATCAAACTATTTTGATCAGATGAAAAAATTCTATATTTCATGTTTTCAGTGATATCGTGACTCCGAATAATAGTAAAATATACCCGTTTTCGTTTGTTAACACATAGATAGATAACTTGACTGTATTTTGACAGCTTACCTAGCAAAACAAAAACGAGATACAAGGAGTGATTTTTGTCAATGTTAATACAGGTGGCTGCAGGAACAGCTCACCGGCTGGCAAAAGGAGAGTTCCAGGAACAGAGTTCGCCTCGGCTGACACAGCCATTTCTGAAGTATATGCAAAATACGAAGGGACAACCGATAAAAACGATTCAGCCTCGCTGGCGATAACAGCGACTACAACTATAGCCGTGGCCATTTGTCTGGTTTCAGTTGCCTTGTTTGCTACTATATTCATCGCACTTCAGGTACGTTACTGGTCTTGTGCAATATCATTATAACTGTGTAGTGTTTCTTAATTGAGGAGTTAAAATGGTAAACGATGTAAGTGGCAGAAGTGAAAATTTTTAGTAGGAACAAACACATGTGTTTGTTATTAATGTTTGTTTCTGATGTATTATGTTATTGTTATCTGCAACCTGGCAATTTGTAAAGCTACATTTTGTTTTGCAAATTACTCGGGAAAATATACTTAAATTCTCGGGTATCCATGTGTTATATTAAAATTTGTACGAATTAAAATGCTTTAATATTGTAATACACGTTAAACGTGTCCTATGCCGGTACACGTGTATCTTTAGCACATGTTCAAAACCATGATCTCTAATAACGATATGTTAGTTACTGTTAAAAATATTCTTCAAATTGTAGAGAACATTAAAAAAAGACATTTACGCACATTAACCATTTGCAGATGTGGATCATGTGGAAATACTGATTACTTATGACAACACATAATTAGGTCGCTACTTTAATTTTTTGATAAAACTAAATCATCTGAAAATTACATGTTTCCCAAATATACGTACATGAGAATTATTTTTAATTACTTGAAAATATGTGAATTTATTGGTTGCGCTCATAATGTTTTGTGAACACATATATGAGTCTATCGTCCTCAAAGGGTTTCAAGAAAACTGAACTGTGTATTTAAAAAAATAACACCTCTATTCCACAGTAACTCTGAAAAGCGTCACATTTCATTACCGTACTCGTTACAGCCTTCTTTTTCATATCTTGACTATAACTAGTGTCCACAAGCATAGCATAGTATTCTAAAGCAAAAGGGTTGATTCCCTCGCACTATCGTATTAACAAAATCAAGCGTTCGCGTTGGAAATGATCCTCATACTGAACCACTGTCAAGTGATGCCACCTGCTCGCCACTTTTCGATAATGTTTCTTTCCATTGTTAACAGTTCAGCCGTTCCGTTTTCCCTACGCGAGCACGTGGTGATTTCATTCTGTTTAACCTTCGGAGGGCGAATGGTGTTAGACGAACGCGGGAGACGAATGCAGAATCATTTTGACCCGTAGCAAAATTTCTATTGTACACGGGTTTCAAGAAGAAATTTCCTGCGCCAAACATTATCCGAGCCACCTGACTTTATCGCTGTTGAGTCAAAATGATCCTGCATTCGTCGTACGAGGGTTAAATTGTGCCGTTATTCGCTCTATCTGCGATATCGCAACTGTAACAGTTCGTGCTTCTATTTCCAGGCAATGTCAGGTAGAAGAGAAACGAACAAGGGTTACACGCAACTGGCCGTGAGGGTGGAACCTCCGGACGATGTTGACGCGGACGACACGACGGAGCTGATGACCTAGACCCTTAACCAAGCTAATTAACGACCGGACCTATCATCGAACAGTTTTGATGAAGGTCGACCAGTCTCAGGACCACAAGCAGATCGATCATGTATTCGCGTGGCTGTCGCAGAAAACGTGTGACGATCGGAATATAGAACGACCGCGCTTCGTGTTTAGATCATCCCAGTGGTCCGGGGCGAAGAGTAAAACGGAGAAAAGTAACGAAAACGGGAGAAAAAAAATGTAAAACAAACGGCAAAAAAAAAAACACAAAATATGAAATAAGCGTTGAAGGAAGTGGAGGAGGAACGGGAGAGATAAAACGAGTGACGAAAAATAGAAGGGGGAAAAAATTGTAAAGTGGACACACAAATGACGGGAAGGAACGAGGGAAGGGACAAAAGAACAAGAGAAATTCGTTCAAAACGTGATAGTAAAGACACTTTTTCTGGCGCACTGTACGAAGAAAGTGTGACTGTTGTTCGCTATAAATTGATATAGTGCAAGTTGCGTGCGGTTTGCTTCGTGTGAATGGCGGTGAACGAGGTGTTTAGGTGTATTTTTTTTAACGGTCAGGCGCGCGTCGCTGATTCTGTCGAGTGCACAAGTATCAGTGTGTAAATGGCGAATAACTTTTAACCGAAGTAAGATACGTAGGCGAGCGACAGGAAAAGGGTGACGGACATTACGAAGTGCCTGATTTACAACGCCCTTGACAGCACCGTTTCGTCAACCCTTTTCATTGCCTCCTATCCTGAACGTTATCTTGCACCCCTAACGATACGGTCACTAAAACTAGCGAAGGTAACAGAGAAACTTGTTAATTGAGACTAACTCTAAATATGAAAGATCGACGAATGCATTTAAGGTATTTAATTATACAAATCTCATCGGTTTGTTTATTCTGTTTTGTATTTCCCCTTTTTCAATGTTTCTGACCATACAGAAATTCTTCGTGAAAAAAGTTCAACGCGACCCGAGGTACGTATCTTGAAACGTGACTAAAATATTTCTTCGAGTAATAACGATAGCGACGAGACTAATGTAAAATCTGAGAGGTAGCAGGTTAACCGATAAAAGGGTAAGGCGAGAGAATTCAATAGGGGAGAAGTGTTTAACGACCAAGAGAGATGGAAGCAATTGAGGAGAAATAGAAGAGAACGAGGAAATTTTCTTCCGGACGAAAAAAAAGGAAAAAACCGTTTTATACAGCTTCGTTCTCGTGCAACGAATAGACTCGACATCCATGTGGAGAAAGTATTCGAACCACGTTGATTTTCCTGATGATCCACAGCGCGTGTATACAGTCATTCCGTCGTGAACGAACAACCAATGCGTTCTTTTTTATGTAACTGTTGTTATTGCTGCATTGTCTATGAATTTTCTTTTTCTTATTTTATATATAGTATTCTACCGTACTTTTTCCGCGTTGCTCCACCTCCGTTCATTTTACTTGTTACATTGCAAAACAAACAAGAGAGAGTATGTGTGTATGCGTGTGTGAGAGAAGGAGAGCGAGAGAGAGAGAATGTAATATGCGAAGAACACGCGAAAAAAGACAGTCCTCGGTAAAAAAAAAGAAAAAATCGGTACCTTTAAGAGCTAACTGTCCGCGCCTACCGTGTGAATATTGAATTTCTCCTCGTGATTTGATATAAAGCTATTATTGTACTTTTATGATGAACGCGATTATAAATATATACATATATACATATACATATATATATATATCTATATATACATACACATACTCAGGCGTTTAAATATATTCTGAGTTCGTGTTCCCATTGAAATATCATTATTCGTGTAAATCCTTCGACATTTTTATTTCTACGTTTGTGTTTTTTACATACGAAAAATAGTTTATTCTGTAAAGCCACTTTCCCGCCCCCCACTTCTTCCTCCTGTGTCTTATAACCTTTGATCGTCGTTTAAGGTAAGTGCATTCGCCAGACTCACCAGTAATTACAACGAAGTGCACGGATAATAGGAAAACCGAACGCGAGACTCGAGACGTATATTTGCCGGTAATGGAAAGCGAGCCATTACTTAATGAAACGTTAAAGAATGAACATTGGAAATAGGATGCGTTGATGCGCTGTAAGGGTGACTTTTCTTTTTAATGCGCGCAGAGTAGTCTCCTTATCGGTGTTCACAGACTACGCGCAACTTTTTCCTTAGTTTTGCTATAATTATTATTATTATTTTCCATTCGGCTTTTCGTTTATTTAGTATCCGCTGTAATTTCGATCAGATTTTCAATTTTCTGTTGAATCACGTTTTCCTGATCGCTGTTGAAGCGTTACATTTTATTTCTTACTTGACTATTTTATTCGAACGTTGATACATCGACTGTCACGGTGGTTATTCGCGACGAATACCTAATCGTGTTGTTACAATGACTTGAATCGCTTAGAATGAATAAATATTATCCAATATTATTTTAGATGGAAAACAATAAATTATTTTTATCGCAAATCGTATTATTTCACATTTTCTTCGCTATGAGATAATGAAAATTTGATTGCACCGTGAACAATAAGTCGTGTAAAATTCAATGAATTTCCATCGTTATAAATCGAAATTATTGATTAATTATGAAACGAAATTTTGAAACCTTGTCGAAAATAAATTGCACCTCTAAATTTGAAAGGAGTATTACAACCTTTTCTTTACAAGTGATTTACTAAAGAGTAAAGACGGGTACAACTAACAGCTAATAAAATTTACAAGTTAACAATTACCAGTAACAATTAGGATGAATAAAGTCAATTAGCTTCAGTATTTTGATTAAACAGAAATTCGTTGACATTGCGATTAGAGCATTTATTCGCCAAACTTATGACAAAATAACGTAGTTGTCACATAAACTTTTATTTACACACTTCGACAAAAAAATTGAGCTTCACATTGACCTAAATTGGTTTTTTCTTATTCAATACCACCGGTGATTTTTACTGCTTTTGAGATACGAGATATTTTACGGCTAGTAAACAATATATTAATTAATTCTCCGTACAGTTATTAGAATATACAGAATTCGATATGAAGTCACTTAATTTATTCATTGCTTATGAAAATGAACTTAAGAAAGTCGAATAAAGTTGTTGAATAGTATCGTTCACGTTCTCTTTCAAGAAAATCGAAGACGTTCACCTATATACGCGTACATACATATACTAATCCCTCAATTTACAATGCGTTCCATGCGATATTTTCTTTTTACGCGGATCGATGAAAATCGCGTAGAGTGGCAGTATGAAAAAAATACTTAAGAGCAAAACCGGTATAAGTTATAAAAATATTTATTTCACATATTTTCACGAAAAAAAAAAAAAAATAAGAAATATGTCTCACGCTCGAATGTTCTCGAGAAAAGACCTTACATTTATTCCAATCCGATTTTGGTTCCGATACTTTTGCAATTGTAAATTCAGGTTTTGGTTTGTAACCTCTGTGCCCTTTTACTTACTTATGTGTGTATTTTCTTATACATAATTTTGTGCCAGTAAATAGTTAAATTGAATAAATATCATAGAAAAATATATAGGGCACGGCCGAAAGTATTATACAAGCGGGCAGGAAGTGATTCCACATGCAAAAATAAATAAGAAACGTGGAATAAAATTTTTTCATCCGAGGCTTAGTTTTTGAGAAAATCCCGTTGTTCTTCGATAAATCATTAGGAAATTTTAATTATCTTTGAACGCAAATATCTCGAAATAGAACGATGGGAATGGTATAGTGATAAAGGTCAATAAATTTGCTTTTTCGCTCTCTACAAGGACATTAAAAAAAAAATATAGGATTCCTTGAGAAAAAACCGTTTCTCTGATTACGTATGCCACCTGAAACAGTGTAACTTCGTCCTGACAAGTTTTTTCATATAACAATATAAATTTTTAAAATTTTTCTTTTTCTTTTATTGAACATTAGTAAGTAGGAATAAACCTCGTTCGTTTATGTCGGTAACGCGAAAAGCATAACGGGAGATAAGTTCCATCTTTATTTACAACGTGGCATGTAGCCTAATAGTCGTCAGGCAGCGACTTCGGCTCGTTTGACTCCTTAGAAATTGATGAATTTAAAACATTTTACGACAATAAATCACCTCATATGGCAGGTCGTTGAATTCGTCTCAGCAAATGCTATCATGCTACGAGAAAGAAGTATATGGTTTCGTTTAAAAAAAATGAACTTCACTTTGAAATTTCCTCCCACCACAGCAAAAAAGTAATTTGCATCGTGTGGTGCCACCCTTCATGCCAAACAAGTTTGTTGAACATTTTTTCGATAGGTTCAGTCCTTCGCGAGGTATTCCAATTTTTCAGGATAAAGGAAACACCCTGTGTTACTGATACTGATACGTGACACTAACTTTAGCGAAAAAAATGTAATTTAAATGTTGTAATATGTATGACCTAATATTTACGAAGGGCAATGCCTATCTTGTTTCTGTACAACGTCTACGCGGCTCGTACAATTTCCTAGGTTCAAGAAAGCAGGAAGAGAAAATTTTATTATTGTTGAAACTGGAAAAGTAAACCTCGGATGAACAAATTTTATTCTACATTTCGTATTCATTTTTGCATAAGAAATCACCTCCTACCCGCTTGTACAATACTTTCGGCAGCACCCTGTATTTTCTGATCGCGTAAAACCGTGGGACCAGCATAATTCCCCCTGCTAATAGCTTCAACTGCACCACGGATATTAACATCGATATTCATATTCGATTTCCGATCGTCGAATTAATTTCCACCCTGCCTAGATACTCTTGTCATTTTTCAAGTGCGTCGTACGTCGTCAAAATTGGAATACGATAAGAATCGTGATTTATCGAATCTCGTTGAGGCCCAGACGCGACGCTTCTTTGCGTTTTCCAATGCACGAAGAAGCCGTTGAAACGGGGTGAAAAATCGTGGATTATAGCGAGCGCAAAGCCGTGATTTATCGAGCCGTGCACCGTCATGATTCACGTCTGCTAGGTTTCACTGGCGTTTCGTCATGGGTTCGAAATTTCTGCATGCATTAATCATCAAAATGCTCGGCGCCGGTGACAAAGCGTCGAATTCGATACTTAAAATTGCATACCTGGCGTGCACGCTGCTATATTAATTGTGACAGGGCGAACGGAATGAATTTTTGTTCAGCGGCGAATTTTTCAACAGTCGAACACGCGTATACGTACGTGTATATCGTGCGAAATATTTTATGAACGGACAAAAATTGCCAATGATCAATCGAGCGTGTTGCAACGGTTCCTTTATCACGTATTCCGTCTGCCTGCGTGATAATGAAAATGTTTGGGGGTTGCGAATCAAAGAGAATAAATTTCGATTTGCTCGAATTTCGACGTTTTATTATTTATCGAGTGGAACTCTGGATGGCATCGATTGACGTTCCTGTCGATATATCGTGTAATAAACGTATTTACAATTCGTTCGGAGTTCGAAAATTGAAAATTAGACGGATATACTGCTTATTCGAATATACTGCTAATATGCTGCCCAAAATAGCATACTGTAAAGCCGGTTTAAAGTTAAAGTATATTTTACAGATGTTCAAGATAGTAATAAACAGAGAAATGTAAACGGTTTCTGTAGCTGTCCTTGTGAAATTCGAAACGTAAACCTAGTGTTAAAGAAAGAAAAGAAGAAGTGTTTGAGTCATTCTGAAAAGTTTGCTTAAAACGCTAATTTTTGTAATCGCATCAAAAGCCGTGCGTCATTTATCAATTGATATTGAAAATTTCTGCTTACAATCTTTCATTTAAAATATGCGGTAGTAAGCTAAAAATTAAGCCGCAGCTGTCAACGATTAACGTACAGACAATTTTTTTAAATATACCGCAATGGAGAAACGAAATCCGAGTTGACATCGAACTGTCCTAAGCGGGACTCGAGCTCGTTATCTCCGTCAAATTGCCGTTTTGGTGCTCGGATTACGTGTACTTTGACGTCTGATTGATTTTACGACCTCGCTATATCATTACCGCTCTATTTTCCAAAAATGTCGAGAAATTTGAGAGAAACGGACTTTAAGCGTTATCTGTAAATTAAATAATCCATGCATCAAAAGTAGAATACAAAGTGTATACTTCGGAATTATTGTTTCACCCAATAAAGGAATTACGTCCGTGCGATTAATAGTTCCGAAAATAAAAATTCATTCGC